ATACACCGAGTATTGTCCTTCCTTCAGCCCAAAGATTCAAAGAACTGCGTGTTTTCAACAACATCAATGTTCTTTTTATAAAGTACAAGAAAACATCTGTTTGGGTAAAAACGATGAATAACTATTTCCATTACTTTGTTATTTAATAGAAATTTTTACGGTAAGGTCCAATTATTGTAGATATTGTCACTTCTGAGCTCCACTAGAGGGCGACATCATTCATTTTGCGAGGCCCCCTTTGTTTTACAAGAAAAATGTTTAACCCCACCCCCCACGCGCATGCACGCACAAACACATCCTCCAACCACACACGCCCATATTTTGCTCCATTGCGGTTTATTTCACACCTCCAACATTTAGTAAACAATTAAGCAAATACAAGTAATCTGTAATAATTACAGGTAGTAATAAAATAAACTACTAACTCTTTTACGCTACGTCCGCACCTACTGCGTCCTATTTTTGAACACGCAGCTGTTTTGTCCACGTAAACGGCGAATCACCGAAAACTGAGATTTTTTTTTTAAAGCTATGAGCCTTTTTCCACGCCACGCTGTGGCCACGTTATTGTTTACATGAGATGAATCGCAGGATGGCAGAAAGAGACAAATACTGTTAATCTGACTGTCTGCAGGTTTTACACGCAGTTACTGTCCCTCTGTTTACAAAGGCAGAGGCGTCACGGTGTGATTATTTTACGTGTAGTTGTTTTTTCCTGTGTAATAATATTCAACACTGCTGTCAATACACTTTTCAAAATATGCAAAATGGGTTCAAAAACATAAACAGCTGTGGGATCCTGTTTGTCCGTGACAGGGGGAACAAATCGTGGCAGGATCAGCCTGATGTTATTTGTATCCTGCTGTAACTTTTACTGTATAAAGAGCAAACATCTCCAACATGTCAGGAGCAGTTAGTCATTACAACAAGTGTTTGTGAACTAAAGATCAAGAATGTGGGATCCTGTTTGTCCGTGATTTAAACAGCCCAGCGCTGCTCCCGACGAAGGAAAGACCAATCCTGCAGGGAGACCTACCTCAGCACCTGTGCAGGTGAAACCAGAGGGAAGATTTGCTTCATCATATTTTCTTTGGCTTTGAATGAAGTTGGTTTGGAAACATATTCAGCGATGCTTCATCTCCTGCTTTGCGTTTGTGTGGGCGCCCCGTGATAGCAGTGTCCAAGTGTTTTGTTTTGTTTCCGTTTTCATACCGCGCCCCCAATAAAGCTCTGAATGGTTTAGGACCAAAATACATCAGTGACCTCCTGACCCAGTATGAACCTTCCAGATC